ATTTAGTGGTCAATGTGGACTTGAACTGTCTCCACATTTTTGCTATGGCTGTCATTATCTTCCTCCTCACATCCTCAGAATTGACTATATCAAAGTGTTCCTACAGTAGCAAACAAGTTTTAGTTAACCAATTGATAATAATGTATAAACAACTAAATCCACATACTTACAAGAAGATCTTGCCATAACAAGTTCTTCACAGTTTCCTCCACATGATCCCAACTAGGATGGAGAATAGATATCTACACAACATAAACAACATAAGTATCAGCAATATATTTGAAATGAAATTCACTTTCAAATAGAATAAATACCTTCTCTCTAGCTAGTGTACCCAAGTAGCTACTAAATTGGGTACTAAAGGGACCTGACACCTTGTCAGTCCTAGGATCAACAGACACAAATAACTTCTGGCCAGATATGTGTCTAACGGTCAAGCCTTTCAACCGTGTATATTGTCGACTCCTCTTACTGGAAAATGTCTTTCCATATGCCTGAGGAGATGGTGGTGGAGATGGTGGAGATGGTGGAAGACATGCCATTTACCTGTAATGAAAAAAACATACAATTATATCAATACACATGCAAAGTCTCCTCAATTACATGTTAAAAAAATAAATAAATAAATAGAAACATAAATTAGATTGTATTAATATTTTCCCATATGCCTTCATCATGGTCAGTGCGAGTAGCATGAACAAAGTCCTCTTCCAATTGGGATATAGCAATAGGCAACCGTGGTGAATTTTGAATGTTAATAAAATCATCTAATTCTTCTCCATTCTCATTTGTGCCATCAATCATTTTTCCTTTGAGGACAACTGACCACCTACCATTTGATGGATCAGTGACATAAAACACTTGTTTTGCCTAGTATGTCATTATGAAGGGTTCTTCCTTATGACCAATCTTATTTATATCAATCAAAGTAAATCCCATTTGGTCTCTTTGGACACCAGTATTGCTATCAACCCATTTACATTTAAATAAAGGCACTTTGAATTTAGTATAGTCGACCTCCTAAATCTCCTCAATGACTCCAAAGTAACTAATTGATGCCATGATGGGGTTTTTGTCCTTTGCACTAGAAAAGTGCATAGATGTTGCCTCAATAGATACTCCACTATTCTGGACCGTACTTTTGTCATCTTGTGCCTTCGTATAGAATGAGTATTTGTTAATGTCATACCCTTGCCAAGTTATAACATTATATCTAGGACCATGTGCTAGCCATTTCAGTGAATCAGAGGCATTGTCACTTGAAAATATTTTGTTTTTAAACCAATTGATAAAGTTGTTGTTATGCTCTTTCATCAACCACCTTTCACCCATTTTGGGGTTTAGGTCCTTTAACATGGCTTTATGCGCATCTATGTAAGGAATAACCTCTTCTGTATTGTTCAAAATATACAAGTGGGCGGTGCTCAACTCTACATGATCTTTTGTTTGAATTCTAATACCACGAGTTCCCTTACCATTTAGCCTATCATCATGACGATTTCTAGGTACACCCACAGGTACGACTCTTGCCAAGTAATCTGTACAAAATTCTATGGCTTCTTCTGCAATATACCGCTCAACAATTGAAGTTTCAGGTCTGTATGGATTTTTAGAATACCCTTTGAAGATCTTCATGTATCGCTCAATTGGGTACATCCACCTCAAATAAACCGGCCCACAAATTCGTATCTCCCTCACAACATGAACTATTAAGTGAATCATTATATCAAAGAATGATGGAGGAAAATACATCTCCAATTGACATAGCACAACCGTAGCCTCATTTTCCAACTCATCTAGTGATTTTTCATCGATAACCTTGGCACAAATAGAATTGAAGAAAAAACATAGTCGCATAATGGCATGTCTAACATTCTTAGGCAATATGTTACATATAGCCACGGGTAACAACTGTTGCATCAAAACGTGACAATCATGGGACTTTAATCCAATTAACTTCAGATCTTTCATGGATACAAGACTCTTAATATTTGAAGAGTATCCTTGTGGCACTTTAATACTTTCAAGACAATGACATAAACTACGTTTCTCCTTCTTTGACAAGGTGTGACATGCTGGTGGTAGATATGTTCTATTGCCTTCAGGCCTTGGATGTAATTCACGACGTATTCCCATCTCACAAAGGTCTTGACGTGCTTTGATCCCATCCTTTGACTTTCCTTGAATGTTTAACAATGTGCCAATGAGACTATCACATACATTCTTCTCCACATGCATAACATCAATACAATGTCGTACTTCTAAATGGCTCCAATATGGAAGATCAAAGAAAATTGATCTCTTCTTCCACATGTTCTTGTTAGAAGACCTTTTTTGGGTCTTTCCAAATGTAATGCTTATGTTCTTCACTCGATCGTAAACTTGTAAACCAGTCAATGGTTCTCTGGCAATTTCATCATCATGTATGTCATTAAAAGCTTTCTTCAGTCTACGGTATGGATGGTCATGCGGGAGAAATTTTCTGTGCCTGTTATAAACTGTCTTCTTTCCATGTTTCAATTGTAGATAACTGGTCTCTTCTTCACAAATAGGACAAGCATAATGCCCCTTCACACTATACCCACTCAAGTTTCCATAGGCAGGGAAGTCATTAATGGTACAAAATAACATTGCATGCAACTTGAACTTCGTCGTCGATACCCATCAAATGCATCTACTCCTTCCTCCCATAATAATGTTAAGTCTTCTATCAAAGGACTCAAATACACATCTATGTCATTTCCTGGCTGTCTTGGACCTGAAATCATCATACACAACATGACATATTTGCGCTTCATGCATAACCATGGTGGAAGATTGTAAATCATCAATAAAACGGGCCATGAACTATGGTTACTACTTAAATTTCCAAAAGGATTCATCTCATCTGTTGCTAATCCAAGTCTAAGGTCTTTTGCATCACTACAAAAACTTGGAAATAGACGGTCAAAATTCTTCCATTGGGGAGAGTCAGATGGATGTCGCATTTGCCCATCACATGTTTTTCTCTTTGAATACCAAATTAAATTTTCAGCATCTTCGTGAGCATACAACCGCCTAAATCTTGGAATTATTGGAAGATACCATAAAACTTTTGCAGGAGGACATTTTTTACCACTCTCCTGACTAGAATCATCACCATCCTTCGCTTTGTAACGTGATACACCACATGTTGGACATTGGTCTAAAGATGAGAATTCTTTCCTGTATAACACACAATCATTAGGGCAAGCATGTATCTTCCTATATTCTAAACCCATCGGACAAAGTATCTTCTTCGCTTCATACATACGGTCCGGCAAGGTGTTATTGTCTGGGAGCATCTCCTTCAAAAGTTGGAGTAATTCATTAAAACTTGTATCACTCCAACCAAATTTTGCTTTTAGATTGACCAATCTTAACACGAGATGACAACCGTGTGAAAGTTGTACATTCGGGATACAAAGGTGTCTCCGAATCGGTCCTCAATGTATCATATATAGATGCATGTGCTTCAAGAAAGCTCTCTTGACCCACATCACAAAGCATGTCCTCTATTCGATCTTCGCAGGTTACATCATCCTCAATAGTTTGTGATACTGTTGGAATATCAACCACTTCACCGTGCCATGTCCATATGGTGTAATTCTTCATCATCCCATCGCAAATAAGATGTTCCCGCGTTGTGTTCATCTCTTGTACTCTGCCATTTACACAATTAACGCATGGGCAATAGATTTTTCCATTCATTTTGGGAGTATTTTTTTCGGCAAATTTCAAAAAGGAGTCAACTCCATTCTCATACTCTTCTGACATGCGACTTGCATTGACCCAAGTTCGATCCATCTAACTACACAAAAGGGCTTGCCTAGATATTCAAGGTTTATTAGAAAAGGTTTAGCAAAACAATACAAAAAAAATGTCTACATCTGATTTCCCACGTAAAGAATGGGAAAATAAAACGTGTACATCTACATTAGTATATACCAGTTCGAAACCGAAAACAAACTTCCAAAAGCCTAAAGGAACCTAGATCAAATCAAACCATACAAAATCATCCATCATCTTTCCAATGTTCATATGCAGGAAATGCTCTAAATAATCTATATTTATGTTAAATGCATGCTGTAAATCATCCATACAACTTAATCAGCTTAATCTAACCTGATGAGAAGGGGTTTCCTTAGGGAAACGAGGGGTACCACACACACGGCAACAACGGCGGTGCAAAGCCGTGTAAGAGCGCGGCGAGGGGGCGGCGAGGGGGCGGCGTTACCACGTCAAACAACGAACGACAAAGAAGGAGAGAACTGAGGTAGCAGCGCACGACATTGAGGACTGAGGTAGCAGATGACGAAGAAGAAGCAAAGGAACTGAGACCAGAGCACGAAGAAGAAGCAGAAGAACAACTGCGCGCTCTGGAGGCTAGGTATGTTAGGACATTCGACGTCGGTTATTAAAAAACCCGACGTGGATAATGCTTTCGACGTCGGGTAAATCATGGAACCGACGTTGATTTTGGGATTTCAACGTCGGTTATACATAACTGACGTTAAATTTAAACATTTAACGTCGTCTGTTATCTAACCGACGTTATTTGTCCATTACTACGTCGGTTTTTTTATAACCGACGTTAAATATTGTTTCTTAATTACAGGTTTGCCACCGCGTCTTGTACAATGTCGGTCTTCATAAAAACCGACATTGGATGCTGTCGTAGTAAGTGTTTTCTGTAGTAATGTCACAATCATCTCATCTAACACTATTTAACCCATTTTATAAAAATTTAATTTTTTTTTGTCGATTTTAGAAAAGCATGTTAAAAACAAAAAGAAGAATGATGAAGAATAGATGCAAAATTAGGTGGCTAGCATTCATCTTGGTGTCTCTTACAGTCGTACTCATGCCAAATGCACTTGGTTTTCCTATAAATGGACCACCCCCTTTCCTTCGTCGCCAACAACAACTGCTTTCAACTTTCATCTTCATTATCGATTCAGACACGATAGCTAGCAATGGCAATGGCAACTGTAGCAGCATCCACAAATGCCCACATTGCTGTACTTCCTAGTCCAGGCATAGGCCACGTCACACCCCTCCTAGAGCTCTCCAAGCTCCTCGTCACACACCATCACTGTCACGTCACCTTCCTCAACGTCACCACCGAATCTTCCGCTGCCCAAAATAACCTCCTTCACTCACCAAACCTCCCTCCCAACCTCCATGTCATCGATCTCCCACCTGTTGACCTCTCCAACATAGTCAACGACCAAACCACCGTCTTAACCCGTCTCTGTCTCAACCTACGAGAAAATCTTCCTTCCTTCAACACAATCCTCGACCAACTATCCCACAAATCCCAAGCCCTCATAATCGACATGTTCGGAACCTTCGTTTTCGACACTATCCCCCAAAACATTCCCGTTTTCACCTTCTTCACCGCCTCCGCAAGCTTACTCGCTTTCTCCCTCTTTCTCCCACAGCTCGACCGTGACGTGGAAGGAGAATTCATCGACCTCCCTCACCCGGTCCAGGTTCCGGGTTGCAAACCCATTCAAACTGAAGACCTGTTAGACCAAGTAAGGAACCGGAAAATTGACGAGTACAAATGGTACCTTTACCACCTGAGTCGCGTGCCTATGTCCGCCGGTATTTTACTCAACACATGGCAAGATATGGAACCCGTTACGCTAAAAGCATTGTCGGAGCACCCTTTCTACCGAAAAATTAACACCCCACCTCTCTACCCAATCGGACCGTTGATTAAAGAAACTGAACCGGTGACGGAGAATGAACCGGAGTGTCTTGCGTGGCTCGATAAGCAACCCTCCGGTTCGGTTCTCTTCGTGACGTTCGGAAGTGGGGGTGTTTTAAGTTCGGAGCAACAAAGTGAGCTGGCGTGGGGGTTGGAACTCAGTGGCGTGAGGTTCTTGTGGGTGGTTAGGGTTCCGAACGACGCTAACGCCAGTGCCGCGTTTTTCAAAGCTGGTAGTGATGACGCGAATAACGCCGCGCTGCGGTATTTGCCCGAAGGGTTTGTTGAGAGGACTCGGGATAGAGGGCTGGTGGTGAAGTCGTGGGCCCCGCAAGTGGCGATTCTGCGGCACGCGGCGACCGGGGCGTTTTTGTCGCATTGTGGGTGGAACTCGACGTTGGAAAGCGTAACGCATGGGGTTCCATTGATCGCGTGGCCGTTGTACGCGGAGCAGAGGATGAACGGGACGATGGTGGAGGAGGATGCGGGAGTGGGCGTGAGAGTTAGGAGCGAGGGAGGCGTGGTGGGTAGGGGGGAGATAGAGAGGGTGGTGAGCATGATGATGGAAGGGGAAGAAGGGAAGGAGATGAAGCGAAGAGCGAGAGAGCTGAAAGAAAGTGCAAGCATGGTTTTAGGCGAGGGAGGAGCCTCCTTCGTGACACGAGCTGCAATGGCTAATGCTTGCCTGTTTGCAGGGAAGAATGATTGCAGCCAGAAGCCCGGTGAGAAATTGGACAAGACTGCAGTGAAAGCTTGAAGACATTGTCTTGGGGTCTGACTGTGTCAGAACCAAATAACAACTTCAAATAAACTGAGTCTTTACTTTTGTTCATAACTTAAAATTACTTCTGAAATAATAGAACAAATAACATTTTGAAAAATATACTTTTACGACCTAAATTTATAGAACTCTTACAAATAAATTTTTTTAATATTATAATAATAATTTTATTTTTATTTTTATTAAATTATTCCGTAGATTATTATATTAATATAAATAAATTATTTAAAGAGTGGTATGTCTGGTTGTGAAAATATCATTACTTTGACATTTTAAACAAATTTATATATTAATTGGTGTTATTGAAGTTTGAGATAAAAAAAATAGAATAAATAAAATTGATAGCGTAATGGTTTAAAAAGTGTGTAGTATAAAAAATGGAAAAATAAATATATCTTGAATCAAAATCAATAACTTGGTATATATATGACAAAATAGACATTGCAAGGAGTATAATGGTTTAAAAATTAATAATAAATTAATTAATCATATATCATGACTAATATTTCATTTAATAAAATACAAAAATAATAAAAAGGTACCTTACAAGTGGAAGAAGATAAATTTATTTATAATTTTATACTTATTATTTCAAAACAAATAATCTTTTACTTAAAAAAACGATTTTTAAATAAGAAATTAATTTTATTTTCAATGAACCAAATATATCATACAAATTAACTTTAATATAATATGTGTTGAAAATTTTTTGAGCGATTAAGAAAAATGATTTTTCACTTTTCTATAAGTAGAAATTTTAGTTTATGTACAGTGACTATTGTCCTGTGTTATGATCTTTTGCGAATAGGAAGAAATGTATTTTTCTTCCAGTAATAGTTTATTAATACGGTGGTGATGAACTCAGTTGAATACAATTGAGAATCACATGTTATTTAAAAAAAATGTTAAATTTAGTAAAATTTTTCATTAAGATATGTATTTTCTAATAAGGATTATTATCAAATATATTTTTAATTAAAAAATGTTTAAATTTAAAGAGAAAATTGTTTTTATGTATAAAAAATCATATTAGGTAAAAATAGTGAATTTAAATATATATAAAATCTATTATCTTATAATAATATATTTTTTATTAAATTCAACAGCACTTATCGTCATTTAAAAAAAGAAAAGAAATATTTTAACATTCTCTTAAAAATGATAATTTTAAAATAATAATATTTTGATTGATTGATGAAAAAAAATATATAAAAATTTAAAAGTGAATTATTAAATTGTTTTTATTTTTTTAAGATGTAAAAATACTAGTACAGTAAAAAAAATTGCTGCCTCCGGGTAACAACACAGTTAGCTTTTAGCTTTCACGTGAAACATGAGTCCCAAATAAAAGGACAAGACAAAAGTGTTTTGATTTACACCCTTGTCATAAAATAAAAGGTTTTGTCCAAAATTTGTAGGATATGACGTGGGTCTACATTGCCTGCAGGAGTGGAAGCCGCTTTCCTTTTGATTCCAAAAGAGAAGGGAGATTGTTTGTTTGGCCTATCATGTCTCTCAACTTTCCAAAATTTGAAACAAATTAATCCAACCACTTCAATGACTGAGAGGTGGAAATTAATTCACTCACTCTCATTTGTTTGGATTAGGGAGTAGATTTGAAAAAGTCGAAAAACAAAATCAAAAAATAAAACGATTTTTATTTTAAGTTTTATTTGGTTTTTTTCTCATTTTTTAAATATATAATATACTTTTCTTTCATATCATACATTTGATAAAAAAATAATGTCGACGAAAAAATAATAATAAAATATAAATTCTCATTATACAATACATATCTTCATTTACTATTTATTTGTTTTATTTTTCATTTAAAATATTTAATTTATTTTATCTATCAAGCCAATCGTAAATATTTAGGAGTTTGTTTAGACAATGTTCTTCATCCGTATGAAATAATTTATTTGATTCTTTTAGAATGAGTATGAGAAAGTTTGTTTGTGAGAAAATAGTTTGTGGAAGATTGTTTGCATAAACTTCTTGTTATGGATAAAATCCATTGGTGCGGTGACTGTTGGGAGGGAGTCTCAATTATCGTCGGTTGTTTTCATCATGTGTCGTGTTGCGTGGAAGGAACCATTTGAATTTGCTTTTATTTGTACTACGCATAATTGCGATATTTGTTTCCCACTGTTCTCGTGTATTTCAATCATCACTCTATTATTACAGACCACTTTTTTTTTTTTTTTCATTTTATTATTAAGATAAAAAACTGATAGACTTGTTTAAAGTCTACAATTTGTGAGTTTGGTGAATAGAAGAGAAATTAAATAATATTTAAAAACTGTTAAGATTTATTGCTTTATTATCACTTACTTTTATTATTTTTATTATATTATATTATTTAAAATATATGTGTTAAAGTATACGTGCTTACATATTTGTATATAATTATTTTTTATTTAATATTTCTATTTTTTATTAATTATATATTATATTTTTGTCCTGATAAAAAAACGTTTTTTTACATATAATTATAAATTATATTTACTATCAGATTAATGAAATAGTAAATAAAATTATTTATTCATTATATTATTATCACATATTTTTATTTAATTATTTATTCATATAATCAAATCAACTAAATAATTTCAATTTTTAAATATATTTTATTTCTCATTTATTTTTATTTTACAAGATAATTAAATGTTTTTTATTATATTATTTTTTTCTCGACTTATTTTTTCTCATTTTTCATTTTATATTATCATCTTTACAACCAGAAATATTATTAAGATTTTTTTTAAGATTTTTTTAATTATATTTATCTTCCTCTTTTTATGTTACGGAGAATCCCTTAATTAATTTATTTTTTTAACGTATGTTACACTTCAATCCCTTCCAAAACTTCGATGATATTATGCAAATATCCTTTAAAAAAATGATTTTAAATATTATAATATATCACTAGTTTTTACATTATACATGAAACCCAAATAATAATAAAAAAAAATTGAAAAAAAAAACTCTTATATAGCCATCGAAATTTACTATTTTTTTATTAGAAAGATCTTAATAGTGACGGGATGATAGTATTGTTAGAAGACTCGTTGAGTATTCTTCTATTCTTTTAAAACGTCAACATAAAATCTTGTGCTGAGAAAAATTACATATTTTATGTATATAGTCGATATATCCATGTTATATTTTTTTAGTTAAATAATAATAATAATGAGATTATTACAAGTAAAATATAAATGAATTTAAATTTCAGAAAGAAACCTAAGAGTAACAAAGAAAGACAAATGTGTTATTGTATGCAATTGGTGCACAAGGCTTATGTATCCACGCTAGGCTTACACTATAGGCCTCATATGGCTATTGCTTCCTGGAGGTTTTATTTTATTTTTTTCCGAATTTCCTACTAAATATCTAAAATATATTTTTTATAGTTTAATTTTTTATTTGTGTACAATTTTGTATCTTAAACCTCCACTATTTATTTTATGTTATAAATTTATTAAAGATTTTTTAAAATATTAAAGATAAATAATAATTAATATTACGTATAAATTAGATGTGATTGTACTCAAATTACATAACACATATTTAAATGGTTCAATTTAAAATAATATTGTAAAAATAAGTTTGAATTCTATAATATCTATTTCAAAATGTATTTTTATATTGACTTTTTAAAAAACGTAGCATAAATGTATTTATGGAAATAAAAAATAAAAAGTAAATATTAATGAAAGATAAAGATAAATCTAAAAATAAAATGAAATTTAATTTAATTGTGGAACGTAGGAAACAACACCATCTCATATAAGAATAAATAGTTCAAAGCCCGACTGGCTTCTAATGGGTTAAGAAAAAAAAGCTTTTTCTTCTAGCACTCCTTGTTTTTACTTGCATCTCGTTTATTTCCTGAGTGTTATATAACTGTGATGTAACACAATTTCTAAAATAATGTTCGTGTCACTTGGAGCGATCTATATAAAAAACATGGTAGAATGAACAATGTAAAGTATATTTTAAAAATAAACTGTTTCAAAATATTACATTCCAGAATATTTTAAACTTAGCAGTCAAAAATGACATAAAAAAGTTCGACTTCCATATTAGAGGATATCACTTTGAGGTTCGGATGGACAACTCTTCATTTCCGAAGATCTTGGAGTTCAAGAACAAAATGCCACCAAATCTTCAGATTCTCGAGGTTAATGGACTGGTTTTCAGGGTATGATTTTATTGTTAAACACATTAAAGGAAACCTAAACACAGTCCAGATTTTTTTGTCTAGACCCAAAAAGAATGTCCAATTAATAGTTGACACTTATAGTCTCAATTAAAAGAATTCAGAATATCAACCAAGGAGCTATTGATAAAGAGATTAATCCAAATAATTTTATATTTTTTTTTGTATTCAACTTCCTGGAGCAAATTACAGTTAGAATATTTGTTTGTATTGCTTATTCCAAAATATACATATTTTTTTTATAATGTTTCAAAAACACATTTAGAATCTATATTATCTAACAATAAAATAAAATAAGCTGAATTATATACATATATATATTTTCCTAAATATGTAATGCAATTGAAAAGCATGATATCCAAGTAGCAAAAAGCCTTTAACAAATTATATCTGAGCATGTAATAAAAAGACAATAGTTAAGTTTTATGATATCATTTTGTAATTAAGATATAATGTCTGCATTTTTTTTACACAGTAAAAAATGAATAAAAATTTGAAAGATTGTGATGAATTGGTAGAAAAAGTGGAGAGTGTCACCAACTCTGCCACCAAACAAAGTGGCACTACCTACCACCCTTCATTCATCTCCTTTCAAAACTTTCTCTTTATCAACCAACCACCTCCACTTTCCGATTCAGTAACTCATCTCTCAAAATCTCTCTCTCAATCTCTGTTCTGTTCAGTTCTATGGCGAACACTCTACACAGTGGCACCAAATGCCGAATCCCTTTACGCGACCAATCCCTGCCCTTCTCTCGCCATGTTTCAAGATCCCTCTCTTTCCTACCCAAGTGAGTCCTCTCTTCTTCCCTCTGGTTTCACTTCACACTAATCTCTCCTTCTCACCGTTTTCTGATCTCACCTTAGCAGAACACGTGCGGGAAAACAACCAAACAACACCTTCGCGGTAAAGGCTTCGCACTCTGACTTCCACGTTGACCCTTCGCTCAGTCCACGTGTCAATGCCGTCAAGCCTTCCAAAACCGTCGCCATCAGTGACCTTGCCACCGCCCTCGTCCAAGCCGGCGTTCCCGTCATTCGCCTCGCCGCCGGCGAGCCCGATTTCGACACGCCCGCTCCCATCGCCGAGGTTTCCTCTCTGCATTCCCCTTTTCGTTCGTAACTGCATGTTCTTGCTTTGATAGTGTAATTGTGTGCGTAGGCTGGGATTAATGCAATTCGCGAAGGTTACACGAGGTACACGCCCAATGCCGGAACCGGGGAACTGCGTCAAGCGATTTGTCGTAAGCTGAAAGGTTGGTTTCTATTTGAATTTGATTTTTTGTTATATGATTCCTTTTTTGGATTATTGTAAGAAATGTGGGTTTCGGGTTTTGAATTTTGAGTCGGTGTTGCAGAGGAAAATGGGATTACTTACACTCCTGATCAGGTTGTGGTTAGTAATGGAGCCAAACAGAGTATTGCTCAAGCAGTGCTTGCAGTTTGCTCCCCTGGAGATGAGGTAAGTAAAAGAGTTAGCTTTATGCTCTAACAGTAAGCATTAGAGAAAATAACAACTTATGCTTCATAGTCTTTTGTTTATGTCTGAAAACGGATGGTTGATTTGTACTTTGTTGTTTGAATTATTCCTATATGTTTATTCTGCCCGTTCCAAAAGCTTGAAATTTCTCTCTGGCTGACAACTGTGCCAGACTTGTATTGCCTTTGGACTTAAATATATGCAAAATTAACTTATTCACATTGATTACGAATGATAATTAAGTTCATTGAATCTTCATTTTATACAGTAAAGTAGAACGATTTTCTAAATTACCCTTATTGATAGTATTTATTGGGGATGATCAGATAAGGACATTTTTAAAATAATAGCATTAATAGAGCTAAAGTATTTGAAAATTTGCTTGTATATAAGTCCACTGGACATAACTGTGCAATTTGTCTCAAGTCTGAAGTTATTGGCTTGCATTTGCATATTCAATAAATTCTACAACTGGTTCTAAACCTTTTTCTCTAGGATTGTTTTATGTCTCTGGGTGTGTAGTCTGTTATATACAAGATTGAGAAAATTAATCCCATAAATTTAGGGATTAAAATCAAGGTTATAATCAATCTATGTATACAACTAAAGATAACAGAATTTCCCTGTTTACATTAATGATATTATGTCTGCTTTTGGAAAAGTCAAACAAATAAAAATGGCATCCCACAATGTGTACAACACTTTTCATTTGTATATTTATGTCTGATTTGTTTATGGAGCGCTTATATCTAAATCTTTCCTTTTGTTCATTTTGGTGGCTTTCATTTGTGGTGTGAATATTTCAGGTCATTATTCCAGCTCCATTCTGGGTTAGTTACCCAGAAATGGCAAGGTTGGCTGATGCAACACCTGTGATTCTTCCAACATCCATATCTGATAATTTCCTTTTAGATCCGAAAATCCTTGAATCCAAAATTACTGAAAGATCGAGACTGCTTATTCTTTGCTCGCCATCTAACCCAACAGGATCTGTCTACCCTAAGGAATTACTTGAAAAGATAGCCCAGATTGTTGCAAAGCACCCAAGGCTTCTGGTATTGTCATACAATACATCCATAACAAGATCACAAGTGCTTCAATGTGTTTAACCTAGACAATATTTTCTTTCAAGATCTTAATAGTTGTTTTATGCAGGTCCTCTCTGATGAAATTTATGAACACATCATTTATGCACCAGCAACTCACGTAAGCTTTGCATCTTTACCGGGAATGTGGGACAGAACTCTAACTGTAAATGGATTTTCTAAGGTTAGTCTGTAATTTTTGTTAGAGTTGAATGGTGTGTTGTTCACTCATTCTTATTTTATATTCAAATTCCTATGTTCTATTTCACAGTATGGTTGTAATTTATGACCTGACATGGAGGCCTTTAAACTTGATTATGATGTTTTTGAGCTGTTTTTCTATAGGCCTTTGCAATGACTGGTTGGCGGCTTGGTTATATTGCTGGTCCAAAACATTTTGTTGCGGCATGTGGAAAGATCCAAAGTCAGGTATGCTTAATTTTTTAATGATCATTTTCATCACCCTCATCCTATACTATACATCATACTTGTTTTAATTTCCCTTTGCTACGGCCTACATGACATCCAACAGATTCGTAGGTTTAACAAAATTTAGCATCTGAGAGGAAACTTTAAGAAATTTTCTAGCTTTCATTTGGAATTAGTTGGACTATTATTTCAATTTTATATTATTTGCGGTACGTACTGGCTGATGCATAGTATTGAATTTAGTTCACTTCAGGGGCCAGCAGTATTGCCCAGAAAGCTGCAGTTGCTGCATTAGGACTAGGTTATGCTGGTGGGGAGGCAGTTTCTACCATGGTGAAAGCATTTAGAGAGCGAAGGGATTTCTTGGTAAAAAGTTTTAGAGAAATAGATGGTGTCAAGATATCCGAACCCCAGGTGCAAATTCTTCTACTTTATTTTCTCGTTCCTTGAATAATTCTCCCCTCTTTGTTTTGTCTCTCCCTTTTCCTTTCTGCTTTTCAACTTAAACATGATTCTTCTCTTTCTCATTCGCAGGGAGCATTTTATCTATTCATTGATTTCAGCTTCTATTATGGAAGAGAAGCTGAAGGATTCGGTAAAATTGAGGACTCCGAGTCCCTCTGTCGATATCTACTGGATGTGGGCCAGGTATCTCATTCAATTGCTTTAAAGATTTACTGATATTTTATTAGTAGGAAATTTTCAAATAAATTTTTATTTTGCTGTATTCCCTATAAATAGTGGAGAAAGAACTAAAGAATATCTGTTCTTAGCAATAGGCCAGAAATTGTTCTTCTAAAGTAAGACAACAACTGAAAAGAGTGAAAGCTATCTGGAAGGTGTCATTCACAGTCTTTTACTATAAAGCTTAGACCATCAAAATATATGTATATAAAGTTGAAAGAGAGGAAACATCTTATAGTTGAGCTTGTAATGTCTCACTACTCATAACTGTATTTTTCCATTTTGCCTAACAGGTAGCCTTGGTGCCAGGGAGTGCATTTGGAGATGATACTTGCATCCGCATCTCTTATGCTGAATCCATTACTACTCTTCAGGCAGCTGTAGAAAGAATTAAAAAAGCACTCGTCCCTCTGAGCTCTACCGCACTTGTTTAATATTGATGTTTTGTGTAATGGGTGTATTTTATTTTAATTTTAATGCTGGCAATGTCTAATCTGTTTATTCTAAAAATAAATAGGCTGTGGCTATTTTTCCACTGATAGAGTGACGCAACTGGCTTATCAATTATGGTTTAAAATTATAACTGCTTTATCTTCCCTTTTGTGTTAACATAATGCAATGGAGGAACAAGGGAGGGTTGGACACCACGGGATCTCTAAATTTATCAATCGTGTCAAAATTAAAAATTTGCTTCATATCAGCTCTATCAATATACATAATATAATAAGTAAAAGAGATTGATTTTAGCATCTTAACCGCTGTTCTCAAGCAGATATGTTTTTATTGGTTTTCATAGTATATTTAGATATTTAATTGAGTTATCATGCCAAATCAGTTATTGAACAAATGAAAGCAAATTTAAAAATATACGTCGAGATCCATTATAAATAGTTGAAAACTCATTAAATTTTAACATTAAAGTAAAGAGTACTGAAAATTCTTATGTATGAAACAAAAATTAAATATGTAAAGAACCTAAAATGAGTGAAATAACAGGGCTAGTTTTTCTCACAATAGTTGGCAGCATAATAATTATCCTCCAACATAATCAAATTGGTCTCCTAAACAATGCAATACACCCAGTTGGGCCTGGCAAAAGCCCATGAATAGTGGATGAAATAGAAGCCCAATTTTTTTATGAGGGTATTATTAAGGGGCAAGAGTTAGGATTACAAGCACATAATATATTTGGAAAAACAAAATGGTAGTTAACCCTTTGATAAAGACATGGATTAGTTAATTGATGCAATTTGCAGCATATCATAGAATAGAATCAATTCCAAGATAAGAGACTGCTTGACCTGCCCCACCACCGCAAGTTTTCCAACATGTAAGGTTAAGGTCTCATTAGAAGTTTCCTGTTGGAAAGGCAATGCAACACATCCAAAAATAGAGCGTGGGAGGGAAGGAAGGTAAGAAGGAAACCAATCTTAACTCTCCCTCTTCAATATTCTCATCAACACCATACTTAAACATTCTCAAAAAGCTAAGGAGCTCCTTTCCCTTCATGCAATCTTGCATAGTGACTTCAACTTGGAGATAATCAACCTTCACACACAAGACCTGGGTTTCCTCTACGTGCACTTTTCTGTCCCAAAAGTACCACCTATCTTGCCTTAACTTCATCTATATATAACATGAAACCAAGCTGAAGGGAAGGAAAAGAAAACAAGTCTTGTGATCATGGATTTCTCTTCATGCAACAAGCACGCACCCGAGATTGTTTTCTTTGATTTGGAAACTACAGTGCCCAAAAGAGGTGGCGAGCGTTTCTGGGTGCTGGAGTTTGGTGCTATTGTAGTTACTCCTCACAAACTCACCGAGATTGAGAGCTACACCACCCTGATAAAACCCAAAGACTTGTCTGTAGTCTCAGTGAAATCTAGCAGAAGTGATGGAATAACTCGTAAAGCTGTGGAAAATGCACCATCCTTTGAAGATGTTGCAGACAGAATATTCGGTATCTTAAATGGAAGGGTGTGGGCGGGGCATAACATCCAGAGATTTGACTGTGTCCGAATCAAAGAGGCCTTTTATGATATCAATAGGCCAGCACCTGTACCTGTTGGAATCATTGATTCCCTGGGGGTCCTAACTGAGAAGTTTGGAAGAAGAGCTGGTAATATGAAGGTATAGCAGCTAGTGATTAGTTCTTCACACAACAAACACAATCCTCATCATTATTTCAAGTTCTTATTTCCTATTTTTTATGAGCAGATGGCATCACTGGCTTCTTATTTTGGCCTGGGCCAACAAAAGCACAGGTACACATTTCTAAATCCAGTACTAATAATGGTTAAACTGTATGAACATGAGTATAACATGTAAGACTCAAAATTTTAATACATTAACCAATTATGATTGGAAATGATGTTAGATGACTTACTGTAAAAGTTAACAATTTCTACATGCAGGAGCCTAGATGATGTTCGCATGAACTTGGAGGTGGTTAAGCACTGCGCAACGGTGTTGTTTCTGGTGTGCAATTAATCTCCATGTTCAATTCTACTTGATTACCTTTGAAAACAAATATTCGAGCTAGTAGCATGATTCTCACACGTTTTTTATGGCTTATGGGTGATGCTAGGAATCTAGTCTACCAAACATATTTGAAAGCAAATGGTATGAATCTCCCAGCATCATGACGCGAAGCAGAAGCAATGCGAAATCACCCTGCAAGGAAGAGAGTAGTAGAAAATCTCCCCCTACTACATTAGGGTATCAGAGGACTGTCCCCTATGCTAGGGGAAGTTTGGGAAAGGTTTTATTTTATACATTATTGGCATAATATTTATATGATTTGCGAGTGCATGTTTAGTACAGATTATTTTTGGAAATATATCTATAAATCTCAAATACTTGTACCCTCTAACAAAAATAGTGGAACTTCTGAAAACGTAGGTGACCGAAAGAGTGAAGGGCTTGTTGTGTAAAGCACAAGGGCAACCACCACTTCAACAACTACTCAAGCATTCTCATTCATTACTAAGGTGAAGAAGAAGTGGCACCATGGAAGAGAAGAAAGGCCTCACGTTTTGGTTTTGTTGAGTTGGCATATTAAAGGAAGATGTGAATGAACAAGATGACAGAATGTTTTCAAGATTCTGAAGAAACCTAGTGGCAGCCCCTAATTCATTTGTTTAATTGTTTTATTTGTGTATAATTCATTCATTCAGATTCATATGAAGCATATTTCTTCAATGAAAGATGCTAATTAATTACACAAGTACCTGTAAATGAAATCAAAATGAATATTAACATCAATATTATTTCCCAACAAAGAGTTTCGCAAAAATACGTTAATTGCAAGTTTTGTTGGTGGGAGGAAAGTAAACCAAAATGAAAAAGCATCGTGGGCCAGTTATTTTTATGTGTAATGGGAGTCAAAGAAAAAAAGAAGAGCTTATTTATTGTTATAATTATTTGATCATTACTTTTGTACACTGATATTATTTAGCTAAGATAGAATTCGTATGATTTTCGTCTACAGTGCAAAACAACATTGTTGTATCTTATAATAAAATGAAATAAAGGAGAGTAAAATTTTGCAAAAGTATGGTTTCTGTCTTTCTCCCTGTGCATGTTTCCTACAAAGTTCTCTAATCATATGATGGATCACACAAATCATATACTTCTTTTATCACATGATGATTGATAGTTACAAGACATATAGGACATAGCCCAAAATCCCCATAGTGTGGTCCTAACAGGAATGGGAAGACTTATTCTTCTGTCCCACTATATTGTACATAGAAGTACTCCGGGACAGGAAATCCAAACACACAAGAAACATCACACGAAATTTTGACAACTCAAACCAGGCACAACTTATAAACAAAGACAGGTACTACAACACACGGTTATATAAGCAGCAATTTAGAAATCCAGATTGCAGTCAATTGCTTCTCCAATAGTCAAGAAGACCCTTCCTCCAATTCTTGTGACAAAGTTGGTTCCCTTTAGCTTGTAAATCACTTGCCACCTAGGATTGGCAATTGCTAGCTGAGCCAAATTAACATCAGGAATAGGTAAACAGGCACAATGCAGATTAGAAAACAACTAATTGTAGTGTAAAACCTCAAAGTAAATTCAATACATTACCTGCTTCCCACTTGAGACCAAACTCTCATGCAGTTCCTCTAGAGAAGCAATTCCTGATGTGTCAATGCTCACCAAATCTACCATAACAATATAATGAAATAAATTGTTAAGAACTTGCTTACAGTATTGTTACTACATATAATAAGTGTTACAAATCCACACACTAAACTCCCTTGGTGATGGCTCTGTTGCACTTAACTTTTACATTAGAAACAAAATTATCATCTAGATAAACTACCAATGGTAAGAAAAACAACTTACTAGAGGTATCAAGGATTACTAGCTGAATTGTGCTTCCGGTGTTGCCTTCTGTTTTCCCCTTTGCTTCTTCCTGAGTGATCCATTTCAGGATCCTTAAAAGCAATCAAAATTAGTTACAGATCAAACCCAGTTAAATTTTATGTAATATTAAATGCATAACAAGTGCTGGGTAAAAGAATCTACTGCTACTATTATACCTCTCTCTGACTGAATTGGCATTAGAAAAGCAAAGCAATGCAGACTTGACGCGTAATATTGCAACCCCAGGAGTCTTAACAGCCATAGGATACTGCTGTACATCGCAGAACACATCTGTGCCCGGAAGTCTTCCCAGAGTTTCTGTGCCTGCTCCAATCGAGATCCAAATTATCTTTGTGAAAGATATTGCCACCTGAAAATAAATTAAAATTTTCTCAGTTCACTTTTTTTTTTTTCTCTTTCTTGTGTACATTACAAGTGCATGTTTGGATTAACACTGGATCATATCAAACGTTGGTATTCAAATCGAAGCTACTTTGAGTAACTTCTATTTTCTATATCCAAAACGTGAGTTCAAGACTCCAAATGCCAAACCAAACACACCACTAAACCGCCTACTCCATCAGTTCCATCCTTTGTTCTAATTTGCTGTATTTATTTCTAAGTCAATTTTCTGCACTTTAATCTCAATTCATGCTCTTTTGCTACAAAGCATTTAGTTTGTTCACAATAACTGGATGACAGTAGTGCTGTTAAATCAAACTATTAGACCTAATCAAAAGCATCTAAATTAAAAGGTCGTAGACAGTGGATGTATGAGGTGAAATGTTTTCCATCAGGTTTTTAATGCAAAATAAAAAATCCTTTCTAGTGTTGGTGTAGGTGTGACGTTGAAATGTTATAAACATGATAATTAGTACACATGCAAAAAATATGTTTTAAGTCTCATCAACAAAAAGCAAAGGTTAAAGCTTCTAATGATTAACACTCCTTTGCATAGTAAATATAATCTTTTCAAAAATAATTTTTCTGTAAAAATCACAACAATCTTTTCATGTCACTGATATCCCGAGGCATTGGAGATTCCAAACGCATCCACTTTGAGTGACACGTATTGGACTAACATTCATTGCTTTATAGAAATCAGCTTTGCTTGTTAGTCCATTAAGGTAGTGGAAAAGCAGAAGAAATTGATCTAGTTAGATATACTCTCAACTTGGCCACAGAATTATGCAGCTGATACTGTTGAAATTGTTTTGCAGCTAATGACTGCCCAATAACAATATTTGGTTTACCTCTTTGTCACAGGTTCAAGATTTATCTGAGTTGGCAATATAATCAATACTAGTAGTGACCTAAATTTTTAATTTATATTTCTAGAGTTAGATGTCATGGATCAGATTAGTGGTGATTCTCAAAGAATATTCATTGGTGGATAGACCCGCCAGTTTGCCTATATACTGTGAATGAAATTTGTGGCACGGTTCATATTTTAGTGCGGTATCGTTGCTTGCAACTACGTTCCCATTAAAATTGTCGACACAGAACTCCAACATAGTAACAGTTGCATCATGATAAGATCCCTCTTCTCTTCCAATCATATATTTTTATTTAAAAGAACGAATTCAGTATTGCATGGTCGTTTAAATAGTTTCGTATTACTTCAATTGTTAATGTAGTTTTTTACTCATAAACTACAGAAGCTATTCATTAAACAGAAAATCTTGTATTCAACCCTTTGCATGAAAACTCAACCTGTCAACATTAATCACATTTCTACAAACTAAATTAGTATATAGTTTAGTGAGAAAAAAAAAAAAAAAAACTCATGACAGATATAAATATTATGACTATTACTATATGATAGGAACAGGTGGAGATGTATGTTGAAAAGTGGTGCACTTACGGCCACTAGCAGACCAAGCTCCACTGACGAAAAGATCACCCCGAAAAAGGCTCCAACACAAGCAAGAAAATCAAGCTTATCAACTTTCCATATTTTGTAAGCTTCGTTAATGTCTATGAGTCCCGGCAGAGCTGAAAGGATTATTGAAGCCAGAATAGCAGTTGGTGTAAAGTACAAAAGCTTCGTCAAACATTGTAGTGATACGATCACTACAATGGCCATCACAATGTTTGACGCTAATGTTTCACAACCTGCAGTGAAATTAACCACTGTGCGAGAGAAAGAACCTGTGCAGAATAATTAAGTAAAAAATCATTACTTAGCCTAGCCCAACAGTTGCTACTAGAATTAATGTTTTGTCTGTACTTCAGTTATCACAACACACTACACACTGACGAGCATTATATGATTGAAGATTAAAAATTTGGCTCTTGCTGTATCACACCTTCCCCAATAAAAACAACACAGAGTCACACTTCCACTAGCTAGTTTAATACAGTTTTGTGTTTTGTCATACCTTGCTCGTGACATTGGACCAAGCATATATGTGTTCTTTTTTTCCCCCACTACCCGGTGGACTTGCGAAATTTAATCTAAATGAAAGAACTTCGATGATTCTATGCCAACTTTTAGCTGCCAAAATCTTATCTAATTGATAGTATAGTAGTTTTAGCTGTCAAGTGATACTAGGTAGGTCTAAAAACTACTTTACGCAAAGAAATATAAATTAATGCAGTTCATATTTCTATTTCTATCAAACTCACCAGTTGCTACATAGCACGAAAAGATGCATCCTATAATGTTCATGAAGCCTAATGATACCATTTCCTTGTTTCCATCAAGGTGGTATCCTTTCATGGATGCAAAAGATCGTCCAACAGCAACTGATTCCTATAAACAACAAATTATTTTCTTTTAGGATATATATTGGAAAGGTTATTGTGTGGTGAAGTATAAACTGGGTGCTCACAGTGAGTGCAACAGCCGCAAGGACTAGTCCAATTTTGGCCAGTGCTCCAATGTGTGGGTTGTTCAACTCTATCTGATTGATAGAGCTTGGATTCAATCCTCCTTTTATATGTCTCACAATGTTAACTCCACTTTTGTCAGCTCGTGTCAGAAAAACAACAAGAGTTGATAAAATAACTGATAAAAGAGGAGATATTGCTGGCAGCCAGAACAGTTTCCTATTCCTTTTACCCTGCCATGGTGAGTCTGGCCCATGTTAGACAAATATATATTTTAGAAATAGTTAAAAAGGAACAACATAATTACTTCTTAATTCGTCTAGATCACTCACCAGAAATCTGGTAAACAGGATGAAAATGAAGAATGAACATCCAAGCACAAAGTTCCGCGGATTCCACTGCAGTTGAACAATTACAAAGGATTCATGTGATAGTTATATTCAGGTGTTATAAACTGTGAGAGAGATTATTTGATGGAAAGTAGTGTGATATGTTGTATATTCATTACATAATTTTCTATTGATAAAAAAATATAGGGAGTAAAAAAATTTTGAGAAATGAGCAAAGTAAATTTATTTTTTATTATTAATAATTTTATTTATTATTATTATTACAAAAAAAAAGATTGATAGTTTATTATAATAATTACATAATTAATTATAGGATAAAACAACTTAATCATATTATTTTCATAATATCATTCTAAGAGATAAATTTTAACGTTTTTCTTGTGAATCTTAGGAGAAAAATATTCATTAGGTTTTACCATATCTTTTTTTTTTTTTCCACCTTTCAAAATAAAGTGGACACCTTTATTACTGCGCAAATCCGCATCTCCTAACCTCTTCATCAACCAAACCTAGTACTGTGTAATATAACTTTTCTTTTAAATGTAAAAATAATATATTTTAAAATTGAATAACAAAAAGTATGAAAATATCATAGTTGTCACAATCTAGAATCTGACAAGTGAGATTGGTTTATGTCGATTTTTCTTTAATGTCAAAAACCTAAATGATTTTGAAAAGTTGTAGTATAACCAAACAAAACATGTTAAGTGTATGCAATCTAAGAGTAACTGTATGTAAGAATGAGAAAGGAAAATTTTAAATATATAAAAAATCTCTACCAGCACCAAAAATATCTAAGAAAACAGACAGTTATATATTTTAATTTTAAAGAAATTAAATTAATTTAGTGAAATATTATTTTAATTACAATATTAAAATATCTATCGTACTTAAAAGAAATTTGAATACTGCTTAAAAAAACAAAATTTAGATCAATTTATATTCTTGTTATCAACTTTTTAAATCAAAGTATAACACGTTTGTTATAGCTAATATTAATAGTAAATAACCTTTCACTAACTATATGTTGGAAAAAAAAAATATATATATATATATATATTACATTTAATAAGAGGATTAAAAAGCATAAAATTAGTGTATGTTTCTCCCTTTAATAAAAGAAATAAAGAAATTAAAATCCTTCGTTGATTAGATAATTTATAAATAAATGAAGAAGAGAATCCAGTGAATAATAAGAAAAGTACGCCCTTTTCTATTAGTTTTTTAATTTTTAAACATAGTTTTAAAGATTAATTTTAAAAATAAATTAGAAAAAACTTGTATAATAATTAGACCTAATGTTACAATTGATTTTTTTTATTTGTCATTAAAGGAGAAAAAAAAACTGTTATTTCACAAAGACCCACCTTTGAACTCTATTAAGGTTGGTCTAATAATAACATAATTGAAAATTTTATGTGAAGTCTGAGTGTAGTCAAACACATCCACCATCAAATGTTACATAGATTCCCACTTACTAAAAACCCACAAGTATAAGTTATAACCACATGAAATTAAATATTTATAGGAAAAGGTAATGATTCTCTCAGTACAAGTAGCTAGCTAGGTTCTATGCAGCAGAAGGAAGTAAACAAACTAACAAGGCAGAAGAAGAACTAAATGGATAAGTGTGACAACATACAGGATGATGAATCGATTCCCAAAGCGATTTCATGACAGAGATTATGTCTGTTTTGTTGGTAAAATGATTGATCCCAAATAGTCCCTTCAGTTGTTGAAGACCAATTATTGTAGCTGCTCCCCCCATGAATCCAACAATAGCAGCATGAGACACAAAATCCACAAGGAACCCCAACCTATACAACATGCATTGCCAATACCAAGTTTGATTAATTAATACGCTTTGCATGGAAATTAGATCATTGTCATAGATACTCATATACCAACCTCAATAGTCCAAAAGCAGCTTTAAATATACCAGCAAAGAAAGTGGCAGTGAAAACAAGCTTTCTGTACCCGTTTGGATCAATGGCAGGGTCTATTAATTTCTCAATCATTGATGACAAAAGAAGCGATACCACCGCCACTGGTCCAATTGCTATTTCTCTTGAGGTTCCCATCAAAGCATACATAAGAGGTGGCACCACACTAGTATCTAATTTGTTCAAACCATTCATTCAAATTTATAACTCAAAATATAAAAAACAATCCGAGCTGAATTTATTTTTCAGAGGAAAAAGGAACATACATAGTCCATATTCAGGATCAAGCTTTGCTAAAGTGGCATACCCAATGCTCTGCATCAAAACAGAAACAGTGTTTCATTATGTTCTATAGTTAACTGAGTGTAATGTGTTGTAAATATATTAAATATTATACCTGAGGAATGCAGAGACTTGCGATGGTTAGACCAGCGAGTAAGTCGTTTCTGAATTTGGTTGGTGAATAATTTGGACCCCATTGAAGAATAGGAAAAATGCCCCTCAAGAAGGAAAGTAAGAGTTTAGGTCCATGTTGGCTTCTTAGAGCAAAGCACATTTCTTGGTACTTTGAGATTGTGTTGCTCACAGAACCCCCGAGCTTGTGCCACGTAGTTGGGGGATCAGGAGCATTGAGCACCCACTGAGACCTTTCATAATGTTCTGAAGTTACCTTCTCTTCTTCCTTGGAGATTTCAACGGCTGACAAAGCCATGTTTGATTGAAGTGTTTGGGAGAACTCTGATCTCTGCATGAAAGCCTAACTAGTCTTTTCTAGCAGAAACTTGCCATGAACAAGGTCTTTCCAAGCTGTGATCGTGAATTGTTTTTGCAAGAAGTGTTTCCAAGACACTCGCACGCCCTCAGTAATGAGAATCAAGCGCCTTTTTAAAGAAAGATTCTACTCCCACCTCATTTGTTTACAATATTGTTAAGGATTACGAGAGGACCAAAAAAACAATGAGTATGAGATAAAAGTGACGCCAAAATAACTTTACTTTAAAAAACAGAAAAAGCTCGTTCATTATCGATTAAGTGAAAAATATAGTAGAGGAAAACTTGTTGTACAGAATTGATTAGTCTTCATCATTAGTAGGTAAAAAGGCCATCTTATAGCATCTTCAAACGTGAAGATTTAAGATTTTGGTGCGATTTCAAGATTTAAGTATGCATTTTATCGTAATAAATAAAAATTAAAAGGGCACTTTGGCACATAGTATCCCCCAACACTCCGTAAGACTCTGAGTGGTATCGCGTGTTTGTTAGGTTAAGCTTTGTTGATGATGATATTTGGAAGTGGGAGCAGTCAGGTGCATCATTTGTGAAGGCATGACAAGTTTACTAAAACAATGAAACAAACATAAAGCTAAAGATTGATGACGGATCAATAACCAGACACATGATAGGGAATGATTATTTGGATAAGCAAAAGGTTGTATTCAGGTTCACCAAGTTCGTTGACAAACAAAACAGTTACTGTATAATTTCTAGAAGCATTCTAATTTGATAGTCACTCAAGAATCCTAAATATGTGAAAATTAATGAACATGCGTGCCATTTTAAACATTAAAGATTATGGAAAAGAGGGATGAAAACAAAAGTGACAAAAATAAGGATCAGATAAGTTAATTAGTGCTTGTCACAGACACTTGAGAAACTAATACAGTATCATTCTTTCAACGTTTACAATGTTATAAAAGTGGAGCATGTTAAAAATATGGTTTGGAACAGGGAAACCATTTTCATTTCACAATATCTAAATTTAAATTTAGGTCGTTTTATGGATAATCAATAGTACTAGAGCATTTATTTTGTGGAGAGATTGTAGCAAAGTAAAATTAAGATACACTCACCTAATACCTTATATTTAAACACATTTATTTAAAATTAGACAATTCATTATATTCCACTTAACACTTTTTTTTTCTCTTCTACTATTATGATTTTATCTCATCTACCCCATCTTTTTTCTTTCTTTCTTTTTTTCATTTCTCTCTCTTTAAATATTTTCTCACAATTAACTTAAAATAAAAAATGAATTAAATACAATTTACTTAATATAAAAATTAAAATTATTTATTTATTAAAAATATTAAATTTTATATGATCGTTAAAAATATATTATCTAATTAACTAAACAAATTATTTATGATTTTTAAAATATTGATATGGATTTAATAATATTAAAGATTTTATTATATTTTAAATATGCATTTTATTTAAATATAAACTAAATTATATTATTTATTATTCAAAATAAATTCGTAATATATTTTAAGTTATTTTGAAATAAACTTTTTAAAAAATATATTTTTCGTTTTAAATTATTTGTGAGAAATTAATTATAAAAGCAAAATTTTGAAAATAATAAATAATAAATTATCAGAAAAGATATATATATGATGTGCTACTGCACTATGAATAGTAAATTATGCTTAGAGTTTCCCAACTATATTGGACCATAAAAAAAAAATTAGATTGTCGTGAATAATGGGCCCGTTGGGTCCTTTCTTTTGGGCTTGGACAGGCTTGAACAGAATAGGATCAACTATTTGTTGGTTTATATATGTATATGTGTATGTTTCCACGTGTTATCAAAGGAATTATAAATATTATAAATCTAGAGAGTACTATAATATATATTATTTAATAATATGAGTAATTGTACAAAATTATTATGTTAAATTGATCTTTTATAAAAAATTTAAAATATTATAAATCTATTTAAATACTTAAATAAGTTACTGATAAATATATTACAGCTGAAAAAAATCACTAATTATTTCTTCATTTTGTTTACCGAAATAAATAACCACGAGTATAAAAAAACTAAACTTGAATTGGGAAAGTTTTTCATGATTTGAAATGACTGGTAAACGAGGAAAAAAGAAGAAGAGAAAGTACACGTGAACCCAACCCAACAAGTTTCCACGTCACCCTCGTCGTATAGCTTAGTTTGGATGTAGTTATTATAGATAGAAGTTCACAATTACGACCTTTTTTACATTGTAAGGTCAGTAAAATAAAACATATTACAACTAATTTTTATATTAATCCATAAATTTATGCTACTTAATTTTCTTATTTATCTTTTAACCAAATAACATCCATTTTGAAAACGCTAAAATTTTCTCTTTCATTGTCCAACTAAAACATAACGCTATGTTAGATTCCTCGGACCAACTATTCTGGCGGTCAGATGAAAGGGATTTTCATAAATGTACACAGTTTGCTTCTTCCAAATGTATACAGAAACGTGAGAAAATATTACAATAAAAAATATAAAATATCTATTCAAAATTTCACGTGCCTAACACCAATCCTATTTTCTAATTTTTAAACCTTATATATTATACAAAAACATTATAATAAATACATATAAAATCAACTAACACTATTTTTTCTATTATTTAAAAATAAAAAGGTATTTTTTATTTATCCAATCTAAACAATCTTATTCTCTTTTCAAGTTCTCTTCTTTTTCTTGCTTTTTACATACTTTCCATGGAAACAAAAAGTGTAAAAAGTTGATGTCAGAGTGATGGTGTGGGGGATACCAGGTGAAAGACCATCGTGTCGATGTCATGGTTTATAGTTTCTACGAGATAATTACTTCACGTGAGGTTGATGATATGAAGAAGCATAGACACAGTAATTAGAGGGAATTAGAGGGAGAAAACAAAATAATGATGCAGGCAATGAGCCCAAAATCCCTAATTAAATGCTGTACTTACAAATTCCATAAATTCGTGAGCATATAGATTCACGTGACGACATCATTTCCTACCACTACTCTGTTTCGGAGATTTCATGAGGGGGATGCATTTCTCTTTCACGCCTCCCTTCACCACCCTCTTCTCTTCTTCCACCTCCTTCCCCTTCACCTCCTCCATCCCCAGCCTACTTCTCCTGCACATAATAATGAACAAATATAAATAAATTTATCAATATTGAAGAAAAAAAATAAAAAGTGAAGCACAAACCTTTCTTCGTTGTAGGAATTGGACTTCTTGAGCACAGGCTCCCCCTGGAACGCCACCCGGTTCGCTTTCATTGACTCCACCAAGCTCCCACTGAAATACTCCTTCTCCTCTGCCTGCAAATTCCCCAACAACCTCGGATTCTCCGACACGCAATTCACCATCTCGCTATCACCCTCTTCCCAAAACAAACCTTTCTTCTCCCTTTCCCTCTCTTTGGTCCCCACATCGCTCAGCCGCGGCCCCTGCTTCCCCTTCAACTCCGTCCCCGCGCTCCCACACGCTATCAGCTGCAGCAGAACCGAGTAACGGCTCGACACCGACCCATCCCCCTCCACCCTCCGCTTCACCTTCTCACTCCGCGCCTCCCTCTCACCGCCTCCCAAATGCTTGCCATTGTTGCTCCTTGTTGTCGCACCGACTACCTTCGCTGTGTTCGCGTTGTTATTCTCTTCTTCATAAACCAGTTCTTCCGTCGACACGCCTCTGGAGCAACGAGAGTGTGGGGTAGTGGTGGAACTCGTGTAGCTTGTTTTCTCTCCCTCCTCGTACTCTTTCTCCCCGTCCTCGTACTCCTCGTACTCCTCACGCTCCTTCTGCTGCTGTTTGTTGCACACACCCAACGCCTTGCTCCTTGAATCGTAACTATAGTTGTAATTTCCCTCTCCCGGCTGATGAATTCCCTGTTTGTTGCTCACATTAAACCTCTCTGAACCGTGAATGAATCGAAAAGCAAAAGTGTTATATTTTATCTTCGACGCAACCAAAAGAAGAATTTTTTTAAAAAGACTACGATAATTACCAGAGCATCCTTCAACGAGTTCAGATCCTTTGAGCACGTATTCCCCTCCTTCTGCTGGATGTATTATATCCTTCAGAGCCAAGTCGTACCACACATAACCGCTCTTGTAGTTTCTGAATTTGCCAAATTCAAATGTAACCCTTTTATTGGAACGTGTGGGTTTGAAGAACGTGAATCAAATCGATTTAACACAAGGTTACCTTTTACTAGACCACGAATATTGCAATGGCATGCCACTCCCTCGGAGAGCCATGAGCCGATCGAAGACATCTTTATGAAGTCAAATGTAAATTACCAACCGAATCAAGTTATGGTAGTGAAAGAAAATGAACAACCGTGTAACAAAATAAGAAAAAAAAAGTTAACCAAGATTATCTCTTTTCTGTACGTACCTTTCAAACGGAGAGGTTGAGTGGGCAAAAGGGTGACCTCCATGAAATGGGGGTGCTCCAAAAGGCCGTTTCGGGAGAGATAGTACACGACTTGAACTTTTCTAGAGGGTTTCACTTTTTGCTTCAACCTGCATATTTTGGCACGGTCTGGGCTCGTCTCTCTGTTAACTCTCTGTGAACGAACGTTATTCACATCCATGCTCCAACCCTTGGAGCAAATTAAACCACTTTTCTTGCTCCTGATAAGGGTGGGTAGCGGAGGAATGAAGGTACCTAATAGGCCCCAGAATAAGTCTTTATGCTCACACCAGAAAGAAACTGAAGGAGAAAGGACCAGCGGAAGAGAGTGACTCAGAGTGCGTAATTAATGCTGCATTGCATGGATAAGAAACTGGTTACAAAGCTGGTACGAATGTTTAATAATTCCATGATTATAATGGCACATCCAATTATAACACTAAAAGGAGTAATGAAAAAGATGAAGCAAAGGAGTAAAAAGAAATTTAAGCATTATTAGCATGGAATTTAATAATAGTTTACA